ATATCCTCTTATATTTCACCTGGTATAAAAAATTAACCCTGTGAAATAGTTTATTAGATCTATCTACCTGTTATCTGCCAGTTACTTACCGGAGCATAACCTCTTATATAAATTGAGATTGAGTTTCATATAAGTGTAACTGAAACGAAAGAAACTTTTTTTTTTGAAGCATAACATAACGGAACAGCAAACATAAATAAATTATGCTCGTTTGTTTGGTATATTTCGTTGCCTATTTTGCGGAATAAACGTAGGCGTCAAGTAGTAAAACCAACATAAACAAACTTCTTCGTTTCACGTTTGCGATTTAAACGATATGCAAAAACAGATGCAGTTTATTTGAGATTAGCCAAAGTTATGCATGATGTTTAGAAATTATTTAGGATACAATTCAGGAAGCCCTCATTTCAGATAATACCTTGCTATAAATACGTACCACATAACTTATACTTTCACACTTTAAGCAGAAAATTTATGAGAAAAAAATCGCGCTTCTACTGTAAATATTCTTTGTTAATTCGTTAAACGAACTGTACATTTATCCTTTAGAATACAATGAAATATCACTAATACATCACAAAAGTAACATCACTAATACTTGGAGCGAGGGGGGGGAGGAACAGGGAGATAACTTTTACTTTCAAGTAGCTATTTTAAACTACCGTGGATGGACAAAAATATGGAAACACCTTGTGAAATGCATGTTGAAGAAGATTGATTTAATGAAATAGTAGGTGGCGCGGCGTTTTTGACTGACGCCACCTATAACTTCGTAAATTGCTAAACAGTTCAGTTGGTTGTCGGAGTAGGTGGGTTGTATTGCATTATGTCAGAGTTAACAGCTTCGAACGGGCAAATTGTTGGAGCACGTTAGGGTAGGTGCTCCATAAGAGGTAGACCAGAGGTGTTTAGGTTCAAGAGGTCTGTATCGAGTTATTCCGCATATTTGAAAGCGGAAAAACTCATCTGCTAAAGCCGGACGAAAGTGTGTCCGAGTGATCGTGACAGACGATCATTAAGGGCAATTGTGACGAAAAATAAAGACGACCACAGCTGCAAAGTACTGCTGAAATGAAGTGTGTTACCGAACCCTGTGAGTACCAAACAATTAGAAGGGAGCTTCATAACAGGGAATGCTGCCGTGCTGCAATCGAGAAGCCACTCATCAGTGATGCTAATGCCCGTAACAGGAAAAGGTGTGTTTTAAGTCATAAAGCCTGGACTATAGAGCAGTGGAAGCGAGTAATTGGTCTGACGAGTCTTCTTCACATTGTTTCCCACTTCTGGGCCGAGTTTACGTTGGGAACGCCTTCTCAAGCCTATAATACAGACTTCTTGTGCCAAAGTGAAACATGGCGGGGTTCTGTTATGGTTTGGGCAGCCATATCGTGGTTCTCTGCTAGCCCCCATGATAACTGTGTCAGGGCACATGACTGCCAAGACTAGGTGAACATTTTGGCCGATCAAGTTCATCCATGGTACAAATTTTGTTCCCGGTGGTGATGGTGTCTTCCAAGACGACAAAGCCCCGTTCACACAGCTCACATTGTCAGACTGGTTTTCTAGCACGAGGATGAGTTTCTCCCATCTCCCCTGGCCACCACAGTCACCAGACCTGAATATTATCGAACTTTGTGGTCTAATTGGAACGGAAAGTCGTTTCGTTTCCACCGCCACATCGTTATCTGAACTTGCCACCGTTTTGCAGGAAGAATGGTATTATTCCCTTGGCAAACATACAGGAACTGTATTTACCCATTCCGAGAAGATGCAGCTGTTTTGGATGCCAACGGGTTTCCTACCCCATATTAAGCAAAGAACATGTTTTTTTAACGATGTTTCCATATTTTGTCCAACCCCTGTAGGCTCTTCAACCCGTGCCCGTGAAGGATTTGGTGGCCCCCATTTGATTTAAGAATTAAGAAATTTTGATTTCAAGAAAAACGCCTTGTAAGCTTTTTATAAAAAAAAAAAAAAAAAAAAAAAAACTTTTTTGCCTCTTATTCTTGATATTTACAACATTTTACTGACGTGTCTGAAATTTGAGATAACATTTTCTGAAAATGACGAATTTTTCAAAAATTTCACTTTTTATGTAATTTATATTATGTAATATTGTTCCAACTCCAATAAGAATTTATAGAGTTACAGTGTGACTGTGCATTAAAATGCAAGTTTCTTAAAAATCCTATATTAATTGATTTTTATTCGAAGTATGTGACCGAAGGCAAGTGTATTCAGGAATTCGTAAACATGCATTCTTCATGCTTTCTACGTATATTTGGCAGTACCTGCATATGTGAACAGCTTTTTTGTAAAATGAAAATCCTAAAATCAAAACCAAGAACATGGCTGACAGACAAACATTTGGAGGAAACTTTACGAATTGCAACAACACAGATTTAACCGGATATTGAAGCTTTAATCAAGCAAAACATGTCAAATTTCACATAAAACTAAAGTAACTACTCGTACAATTCCGCCAGTAATGTAGGTTTTTCTTTTTTTATTTCAAATGCATTTTGTAACATCGTTTTACAATCATCTTTATCTTTTTTTTTCATAGTTAGAAAAAGTTTAAAACATTTTAATTCGATTCCAGCTGACTTTTGGAACCTGTGTGTATATGTTCGCTGAAACACCGAAATTGGAATGTCGACTTCAGCCATCAATGTCAACATTCACATGTCCTTGGTGCATTTCCGAAATATTTTCCAAATACTCTTTTTCTGACTTCACCGTCAATGTCCGACATTCCCCTGTACAATGGTGATGTTACATATAACAATATTATATTTTCTTCTCCGTCATTCAGTCGCGAATAAACGCACTTGACACTGAAATAAGAACTTAAGAACATGAGAACCTAAAACACAATACATTCAAAATGAGAAAGGAATAATAGAAGTTAAAAACTTACTTAATTATACAGTACGTCTAAATGAGAGAATAAAATAAAGTATAAAAAACTTTAAATTATGTGATTCAAATCTTATTTATTGCAACAACTTAAACTATTATGGCACTTTTATGACCTCTCTTTCGACTTTCACAGAGCATATCTGTGATGTCGACATACACCGTGAGGGTCCGAATATACAAGAATGTAGTGAAATATTCGGTCTTTCACCGACGTATTTGGTGAATGTTCATATTCTCCGGTGAAAGTCGACATTCTCCAATTTCGGTCTTTCACGGTAACATATGTTTATACAAATCTGTAACACTATCTCTTCGCTTAGAATGAATTGTAGTCAAGACAAATCTCCCTTTTTTATATAAATTTTCTGACTACACTATTTTTTTACAAGTATCCAAGCCCGTGTATCTCTGTGAATTTACCGATGTGGCCCTCGGGCGTGAAAGGTTGAAGACCCCTATTTTAAACAATCCATTGACTGTGTAAAGTGATTTCGTTTTGCTTTTGTGTAAGGGAATATTATACAAAATGGTTAGCTTTCTTTATTAACATCCTATATATTCAGATCCTTTATACATGTAGATATACTTAAAGTTATATGCATTTCCGATGCTGATCATAATATTCTGATAAAAATTTTTTGGATTATTACAATATGGACAAACGTAAAGTTATTAACTCAAGAGACAAAATAAAATCTTGAAACTTACATGCTATTCAACATATTCGTTTTAATGCACAGCACACACATTGTAGAGTTATTAGGTTATTTTGAAGCAGGAGATGTGAAAAATGTGCAGTGCCCTCGCCAAGACTCGAACCTGGACCTCTCGAATGCTCGTCGAGTATGCTTCCAGTTACACCACGAAGGCGGGCTGGAAGGAAGGATTCTTAAATTTCTTTTGACCGCTCCAGAGGGAAGGAGGTTGTTCCGCCGTTTGCCTTTTGAAATAAAAATATCTTCTCCTATCACCTGGAATCATTGGATTTTTCGAGATCTGGAAAAGAAGAGAGTTTGATACAGCTAAAATTTTATTGGGTGGATGGACCAGCTGCTTTAAAGTATTCCACTGTTTGCCAGACTTATGGTCCTGAAAAAGGAAGAGAATTTTTCGGTAGCTAACCTCATTGGTTTTCTTACAACGTTCTCCGTTAATTCATGTAAAGATAGCAGCAACATTTTACATCAAGTGCTTGACTTTTCTAATAGCAGACAGTGGTAAAAATACCTCATTTATTCAATCTTCTTCTACCATGAAAAAGAATGGCCATCATTTTCTGCTACTTTTGCACCTTAAATTTTCTCGGCCATTGAAGTATCGCCACTGCATATATTGTTTGGTTTGAGGATCATAACGGTGTAACTAACTACGTTTCATCACCGCGTAAAATTACAAAAAATTATTGTCAATACATAGCAGCTGCTTTAAAGCATTTCACTGTTTTCCAGACTTATGGTCCTGAAAAAGGAAGAGAATTTTTATGTAGCTAACCTCATTGGTTTTCTTACAACGTTCTCCGTTAATTCATGTAAAGATAGCAGCAACATTTTACATCAAGTGCTTGACTTTTCTAATGGCAGACAGTGGTAAAAATACCTCGTTTATTCAATCTTCTTCTAACAGGGGGGGAATGGCCATCATTTTCTGCTACTTTTGCACCTTAAACTTTCTCGGCCATTGAAGTATCGCCACTGCATATATTGTTTATTTTAAGGATCATAACGGTGTAACTAACTACGTTTCATCACTGCGTCAAATTACAAAAATTTATTGTCAATACATAACAGGGGTAAAAACACCTTCTTTATTCCTTTTTCCTCTACCAAGAAAGGTGTGGTTGTGTGGTGTATTTAATTATGGCAAAGCACACTAGGGCTATCTGCCTTTAAGGGCTATCTGCCTCTACCAAGAAAGAAATGACCATTCACTTTCTACTACTTTCGGATCTTAAATTTTCTCGGCCATTGAAGGTCCGGGGATAGCCATAACATATATTGTTTGGTCTGCGAATCATAAAGGTGTAACTACGTTTCATAATCCAAAAAATTTATTGTCAACACATAACTAAAAATGCTAACAGAACAACTTGGCAGCATCGCTTCGCTTTAGTTTTTCCCTCGTTGGCATTGAAACATTTCGGCGGCACACATTTGGCTGACAGCTCATTTAATTACTCATGAATGTAAAACCTAATGCGTTTTTTAGATATCTCTAATGTCCCGGCAGTACTTCTGACGACTTGCCAGAAACAGGCCATGAGCTCGATCCCCAATTTTTGAAGTTGTCTTAGTTGAAGGCTTGCCAGATCTGTGCCTTCTGCCCCAAAATTTCCAAGTTGAAAATTGGAGCAGCACTTCCTAACATTTGAATGCGACGGACATTTGCCAATCAGTTTTCACTTCATTCACTGAAGGATGTTCTTTGGAATTCTGCAGGGAGAAGGAGCTTCATGATATCCCAGAATTCAACACTTGTAAATTTCACATTTTGCATTAATGTGATTCCATTAAGATCTGAACAAATGAAAATTTACTACAAAAGATTTCGTAAATTAACCTTTATAGTGTTAAAAAATGTTGTTTTCTAGCCAGCAGGTATAAAATTGTGATTTAATTCTTTTGTGAATTGAGTTGAGCTGGGATCTTTTTTGAGCCAACAAATGATAATTATGCTTTTGATCTTCTCTGCGTTAACATCATTTCATAGCGAAGTACTCTAGGAAGAATTAGAAAGGAACTATTCCAGTGAGAATGTCATTTTAAAACGAAATGGCAACGGTGTTTAAAATGTAATCACTGTCACTAATTTTTATTTGTATTTAGTATGTTCAGACAACACTTCATATCTAAATGCACGCTTTAAGAACGTATAATAATTATCAAAACTTTTTATGAGAAAAAAACATTTTTTTTGCCAATCATCAACGTGAGCTTAGCGAAAACTATGGTCTACATCAGGGTTTTGCTAAACTGTGGGTCGCGACTCCTTGGGGGTCGCGGGATGCATATTTCACAACTACACATCAGCGTAGCCACTGAGGGAGGGGTTTCGAAAATGGACCAATGAGCCTCTATTGCTCTTGTGACGCTAAATCTTCCAAGTCTTGAGCGTATGTTGTTTTACGTTTTAATTTGTATTTGCTTCGCAGTTATAATGTATTAGTAACAGTAGAAAATCTCGTGGTACTTTCGTTTTATGAGTTTAATCAATCGCTGACTTTCCGATTTTATCACGCCATTAAAATTTGGTTGGCGTTTACGGCATATTATCGCTCTTTACATGGAGAAAATGGCTCAAGCTACAATTAGCCTCGAATATTATGCATTTACTAATACCTGTGGATTAAGAGAATTCAAGTGTATAAATATTTTTTTAAATTCTGCTGAGAAGGACTGGAAGTGTTACAATGAATCTAGTGTTCCTTATTTCAGTGCTTGGATTCTTTTGTTTTTTAAAGTGTAAGATTCAGAGTAATATTGCGTATTATCTGATTATATGCATTATTAACATTAAAAGTTAATACGTGAGTAAATTGAATATAATCGTTGTGAAGAAGATAAATTCGTTCAGTTTGATAAGTATTTCTTCTGTAGACAGTACATGAAAGTGTGAGCAGTTATTAAATGTGAAATTTAACACACTAAATTTATACAAATCCAAATTATTAAAGTTCACTTTGAATAAAATTCTGCATTGGTTATTATTATAGAAAATCTTTTTCATATAGACTGCAATAAGAAGTGCTGACTTCTATTTACATATTAGTGTAAATATTTTTCTCATACGCATAGTTGATGCAAGATTGCATTTGGGCTCAGATGTTTATCACATATTTCTTTCTTCAACTTATTTACCACATATTATTAAGTAATATTTCACATCGATATTTTGCGAAGTATCCTACATGTGTTTGTATTTATTTCAACCACGAAATCTTCATAATTTCCTCTAATTGATTTAACTTCTTAATGAAAAGTTTCAGAAGCAATCGACGGTGCTTCAATTATTTTGTACAGAAAATTGCGTGGCACAATATTTTCAACCATCTTGCTTAAATCTTAAACCACGCGAAAGGTCATATGACATGACAGAAATATTACTGGATGCCCATTGGTCCATCCTAGAAACCAGTCCCTCGGTGGCTACACAGATGTGCACTTGTGAAATATGCTCGCGTGACCTGCAGCCGCCAAAACGTTTAGCAGTTTTGATATTTCTTTAACTTATTATAATAATTTTACAATAACCAAATATTTTTACGCAATGTATCTGAAAATAGATAAAGATAAAACAATACAGACAAAGAAAAATACAAAAACATTTCGACGCATTCTCTTTATAATATAGGCCCACCAGCGGCCGAGCGGTAAAATCGCTGAACACTGGTAGTTCGGTCCGAGGTTCGAATCCCGCGAACGGGCTGGCTGCATGAGCGTTTTCGTGGTTTTCCCCATGTGTAACGTGTATACGAGCCAGTTTCCCTTAGAAAGTCCTCCACGAAGGCATCCCTCCTCTTAGGCAGATAGCCCTCGAGGCTTTGCCAAAATCACGCACACTTTATAATATAAACGTTCATTTTCCTTGCTTTGAAAGTGACGCTGTCATTTCGTCTGTTATTTATTTAAAATTTTCACATTATTCCATGTCTTAAAATTAGAAATTAAAGTTAATGACCTAAACTGCGACAGTTTCACTCACGCGTGTGTCGGATTTGCGCAATACTTATGGGGTTCCACAAAATTCTTGTAAATATTATGGGGTCCTGAGGATCGCGAAAAAATCTCAATGATAAAAAGGAGTCGAGACTGAAAAATGTTTAAGAAACCCTGGTCTATATAATCGCCTCTCTGTGCTTGCTACTAGTCGAATCGTTGAAACATTTTAAACGAATTTTACTGTTCACGAATTGAATTTTCCAAAATGAAGGAGGAGATGCAGTTACAGTTACTGGTGAGCGGTACTGATTGATGATAACAAATTTCTTTGTCTGCAAGTTTGGAGGACATATGGTTCTGATAAGACGGTGCCACATGTCACACTGCTGACGCTTTATTGACATATCGCTAAAAACGTTTGATGAAAGAATAATTTCACGAAATTCAGCTGTTAGTTGGCCTTCCAAAGTTGGAATTTAACTCCTTTAGATTATTCTTACTGGGGTTATTTTGAAATCATTGAAATCAATGGTCTATTCCAGGGGTTTCCAACCCTGTGCCCGCCAGTACCATGGCGCCGGCCGCTGTGTGATCACAATTAAAAATTTTTTAGTTTTCAATAAAATTCTATTGAACATTTTCTCATTTTTAACGAGATAAAAATTGCTTCCACTGAAGATACCAGCACAAAGCGAAGTGCGACCGAGATCTTTTTTTACGTACATGTATTCTTAATATTAACTCTATCCAACTATAAATTCACCTTGAAAAAGTAAAGGGTGCCCGCCGTCCAACATATATTCTAAAACGTCTCTTAGGGACATAGAGGTTGGGAATCCCTGGTCTATGCAAAACGACGAACACTTGAAGCAATTAAGAAGAAACACCGAATGCTGAGTAACATTCATTTCGACATTTTCTTCCTCCGCCCAACGGCGGGCACTTGCCTATAACGACATTGCTCACTCTTAAGGCTTGGAGTGATGGCCATTTTATTGTGCAGACACCTAATAGGCGGCCACCATTACATCCTATGAAGGGATGGACAAATTTACATCCATGCTTTCTCCAGGATTCGAACTCGGGCCCTTCAGTATCACAGTCAGGCTCCGGTAACCTCTATAACGTCTGGGCTGCTCGAGGTGGACATTAAAATGAGCTTTCGTTCAAAACATAACGTCCTAAATTGTACTTCAAAATGATATAAAAAGTTTG